AACCTGTTCCATCATGTTCATATCTGTAGCCTCATCCATAATGACTGTATCTCAATCTCTCTGAGCAACATGTAGAATATTGTGAGCTACAATCACAAGTATCTCATTTACTGTAGCAAGTGAAACCCACTGGTAATTTGTACAATTCAGCCATGATTTCAGCTGTAGGATGCCACAGTAAGAGCTCCCTAAGGTTGAACTCTTCCTCCAGATGGCCATGGATAGCAATGCACTGATAGGCTAGATACTGAAATGACGATAAGATGGCTAGCAGTACTGTTCTAGCCTCTTGCATTTACTTCTGTTTACCACCTGAAAAATGTTTAACCCCAGCAGCGCATGGGAAGTTAGAATGCTGACAGGTCCTAACTTCCCTAGCATTTTCTTCCAGTTAAAAAAGCCTTCCTGCGCATCCCCATCTCTTGAAGTTTTTGAAAGAGAAGCATTCATTTCATTGGCTGAGAGCAAATGCTGCAATAAACTTTGCCTATTTTAAAATCATACTGGAGTAGCCATGTTTGCTTCCAATTAGCACTGAACCTGCATGTTCCTGACTTCTGTTTCAGGCTCTAACCTGTAAGGTCTCTCCTCCCTTTCTCACATTCACAACTGAGTAATTCATGTTGAACCCTGCACTAGAAGTACTGGAAGCTATTGCTCCTCATCAACAGTACAGGTCATAGCCCATGGAGTTAAGTCCCAGGACTATTTGCTTTCTTATTAGAAACCTTCCCACAGTGATGGAAAGTTTTGTTGTTGTTGCTGCTGCTGCTGCTGTTTTACAAACACAAGTTGACCAGGTCAGCCCAAATTAGACCAAGCCACCAGACTGATGAAGAGAGGCAGGCAGAGCATGGCAGCAGCGGTATAGAGACAGGAAAGAGACAGACATTCAAGAGCTCCCCTTCTTCCTTGTCTTCTCCTGGTGAAGTGGCTGATTCTGACTACAGATAGTTTGAGTTGGAATGAGTCAAGGAACAGGAGTTGCAGTAGCCTTAGGAATCTGAGCCTCAGGAGATGTTTTGCTTTCTTGGAGTCACTGTCTCTCTGTTTGCAGGAGCCTGATGATAGAGGTTGGGCCGTCAGGCCACAATTACAGTTCCATTTCAGGAATCCCAACTGAATGAAATAGTATCAGAGAAATTAAGGGGTATATCTAGGACTGTGCCAGCATGCATTGTCCATTTCTTTATCCAGGGCATCAGTCATGAACATGTAAGAGATCAGTGTTTTAAAACACTGCTTATGCTAGTACTTACAAGAAAATAAACCTAACACACAGGCTGAAATTCTAACTAGCCAGCATAACCAATGGCTTGAGATTAACAGGATGGAAGAGTTATAGTTTAAAATATCTGATTGTTTGAGACTAATAACCAATTTCTAACAAGATGGGATAGAAACAAATCTGTTCATCTTGTAGGAAATGGGGAAGATTTTTCTTTACCTAAAAAAAACTATAAAGGTTATATGTATTAAATTGAGTTTGAATTGTCAATACAATTGTAAGTTCAATGTAACCAGGAAAAAATCAAACCATCTCTAACCTGTTCTGAGTTAATTTTGCTACACTATATTGCTTCATAGTAAATAGCTGTATTCTCATGCTAAAGTAGAAAGTTCATAGTGCTTTAGTTATAACATATAACTAAAACTATACTATAGACATATAGTTTTAGAAACTAAACAAATTTATTTGATAAATGAAGAATATACTGTCATAATTTTGGAATTATGATTAACTGAGTTTTTTAAAGAAAAACATTTGGAAGTATAGTCTTCAAACACGCTCATAAAAATGTTATAATTTTAATAGTTGCATAAAAATATTTTCATTCCACTATTCATATCAAATATGAAGTATGATTAGAAATTCTGATTTCCAAGTTCCTTGTTTAGGAAAGGAAAAACCATAAAATTAATATTTCAGTTAAAAATGCACATGAAGATGACACTGATCAAGTCCATTTAGCTAGCAACTCTGCAAAGTTTCATTTAGAAGTCCTTTTCCACCCTATCAAAACTAAACCTGGAACCTTTTCTGGGCAAATCATCTGTTCTGACACTGAGCTATGGACCTTCCAATCTAAAAGCAATCACTAACCTGTCATCAACCAAAATATATTTTAGACTTAATCATAAGAAAAACTTATGCAAAAAATAAAGTGTAAAAAACTTTAATACAGATAACTCATTTGCTCTGTTAATACATAATCTAAATTGTTGACAAGTAAAATTATGATTTAATTATGTTAAATCCAAATTAATAAATTAAATTGATAAACACCTCAAGAAAAGTAAGCTATTGAATGCTTAGGCAAGCTATATGCTTCCTGTAAAACCAAACAGTATTAAATGGAAATATCTCACTTTTAACCCGTTTTATTACTGGAGAAGAAAAAGCATCCTTCAGATTATAAGGATGTCTTCAATGACTTCGCACAATCACTTCATTTAATAAAGTTCTCCATAAAAACTCAGAAAATTTCAGAAAACATAAGACAATATGTGCTAACAACTAATAAATGTTGTATCCATCTTCCATATAATCCAACCAATGTCTTCCAACTCAGAAACAGCATACAAATAAAACTAGTTCTAAGAAGATATTATCTAAGCTAATGTTATACATATTTATTAAACAGAATTGAGCCATATGAATTTTGAAATAACTGTCCTTTGATACATAGTATCAAAGCATATAAACAGAAATTCAGTTTATTCTACACTGAGTTTTTATCTAACAGTCTAGACTTGGGTTTTATTTTCCATTTATTGCAGGAGGTTTCTAGCGAAAAAAAAGTAAGTACAGTAAGAAGGGAAGGTAGCAAAAAAATCCAAATCATTTTAATGTCTTTTTAGAATTAATCTTAAAAATTGAAGTATTTTCTGTATGTATCGATCCTCAAACATTTTGGGTGTATATTGTAATAAATATATATGCTACAGTATAAGTATTAAAGAAAGAGGTTGAAAAACCAAGGACAGCTTTACTGCTAATCAGAAAAAAATCCAAAATTCCCATTAGAGAAATTACTTTATTGTGCCAGCGAAAAATAAAAATAAAACAAAATAGAATTGTTTGCTAGTTTTCAAATTCACTTAAGCTCTTCATCAAACTAGATGCCAAATAAAAGGAGAATGGAAAAATGCTGAAGCCTGGATACTGCATTTAGTCATGTTATTAAAATGAAATACTGAGATAAAGAATGTAATTTAATTGTCTAGTAAATGTTATGCAAATTTCAGAATGCATCTAGAAGTACAGGGTCCAAACATACAATAGAGGATGCCCATTTCTGAAATTAGAATATCAAATGCGATTCAGATCTCTGTCTTCATCATCCAGCAAAATCTATACAATATGTTTATTAAAAACTATACATACAAGGCTGATTGTAAGCATGTCATTTCTAAGTAGCATTCCTAACTGACAGGTTATGTATTTATTCATCATACAGCAAATATAGCATTAAAAATATATTCACTACTGATTTTTAAAATGAGAATTGTTTAACTAAGTAAGTTCAGTAGTGTTTTATTATAATAGTGTGACATTTAGCATCAGAGAAAGTTATTACACATTTTTGTAATATTAATTATTGGTATTTTAATCCATAATAGCTGTCTTTGAAAACTCAATAGTTCCCAATGAAGTATGGTTTAATTGGCTACAGGACTGTAAATGTAATTTTTTTTATTCTGTGAATCAAACAAAATTCAAAACTAGAATCAGAATTTAAATGTATACTTCATATCCAGTTCCTTTTTGAACAAGATAGTTATGTTTTCTTCTATTACCACTTCACAAGAGACCAAATTTATACAGTACAGCTATCTTTTACTGTTAATTATATTAGTTCCACTTATACTTTGCCTCTGTTCTCTTTTAGATTTCCAGATTCTTGTTTTGGTTGAATTATAATTATCAGAAACAGGTGAACAGCCTCTCCAACCTGGAGCCCTCCAGGTTTTTTGGACTACCACACCCAATGCCATATAGACTGGAAATATTATAGGAGTGGTATCAAACATAAATGGGGGCTGTTGCAGGTACTGTGGAAATAAAAAATAAGGTCAGCTGCTTTGTAATAATGCTCTTCAATCAATTCAACATTAATAACAGGGCAAAATTACATTTTAGAGAAATGAATTGTCAAACTGGGGGGGGGGGTCTGTGTCTGTGTGTGTGTGTAATAGCAGTTGCAAAATAAGGTTGATCAGGCTCAGGAATGTAATGATTAACCTTTCTCCATCTATATTGCAGTTATAATGAATAAATCACACTTATGCACTCAAAGCCGCTAACGTCCTTGGTAATATATGAAGAACCCATTTTCAGCTATTATTTCTGATATCAGTTCTGGGGATAACAATAAAAAAGAGATCTAGATCACATTTGAAAAGGAAATAAAAATGGCTGTTGTACAAATAGCATTTTTAAAAATCATCTCATCAGTCTCCTAAGATACAATTTTATACAACTGGTATTAGAAGTATAAAGAATCATCTGATAAATTTTTGCTACATTCAAGTAATCTCATGTGATACTCAGTCCTCAGGAGAGAAGGGAGGAAATGGCAAGTTTTACTGTGATACAAATTGAATGATGAAATGCTTTCACTTTATACCTTAAAAATCATTTACTGTGACAGTTTCACTGATACGGTTATCAGGAAAAATAAACATGGAGTACTTGCCATTTAAGATGGAAAGTATACAACCAATATATCAGAGTCATGGGGAGAATTCTCCTGGGAACGAACATTATTCTAATTTAACATGCTATCACTTTCTTGACTTTTTGTAATTACTGCATTATCTTAAATAATAAGACACATAAAACTTAGACTTGTTTTAATTCACTTTGTAAAAAGTAGGTACAAGGAGAACAACTGAAAAGATAACTTGAAAACAACCTTCTCTTTTTTACCCACCATTATAGAAATAAATAACGTTAAAAGCATCCTTTTTTTATTTGTACAAGGATAACTTCTTACCTTGATCAAAGGATTTAAGTGGACTCCATGTACGAAAATAATCATCCTGCAGCAAAAAAAGAAAACATGTGCTTAGAATGGGGGAAAGAGTGCAAATAGATGAATGGGGAAAGACAGAAATGCATAGAAATATGTACAAACCTCAACTTCCTGCAAATGGTGCGCAGCAAAAAACAAAGAAAAGATATAATTATCATATGGACTCACTAATTCCAGAAAACAGATCTTTGCTAGTGAAAAATTGAAAAAATAAACAGTTAATCCATAAACCAGATGAATAAAGTATCTGCAAAATATCTAAGATTTTCATTGAGTAATTATATTTAAATAGTTTCCAAACCTTGTATTCCATTTCTAAATCATTATCAACCATTCAGTCTGTTGCTTTAACAGAAATTACCTTGTAAAAAGTGCTTAAATGGTATGGCTGGAAAACTTCTTGCAATAATGAAATTTCAAAGCCAAATATCAAACCATCAGTAGTAGATCAAGTTGCTTGTACATCTTCACTATACTACTGCTTTCAAAGCTTACTGTTTACAGAGCTAAGTTTCAAATTTCTTTTCACTGCTCAGGGGAAAACAAAAACAAATCAGATACGGTTAAGATAAATGCCATTAATTTTAGTGGGCTTCATCTGTATAATTTATTATTTATTGATTTATATAGCCACCAGATCACAATGGTGACTCTGGACAGCATACTAGGATTAAAACACAAAAACTATATAACCTCTGGTGCCCAAGGATAAAACAACAGCCCCACTGATAGAGAAACACATCAACAGCAGCAGATCTCACCTAACCTCCTGACCTAAACACCTGGGTTAACAGCCAGGTCTTCAGCACCTTGCAAAAGGCTAGCAGGGTTGAGGCCATCCTGATCTCCAGATAGATGCTGTTCCACAGAGCAGATGCTGCCTCTGAAAAGGCACAACTCTGAGGTTCAACAAGATGACATTGATCGAAGAGACCCGGAGCATGCCTTCTCTGCTAGATCTGGGAGCACAGACAATGGGAGAAGGCAGTCCCACAGATATCAATCCAATCTGTTTATCAACTGAATTATTCTTCTATGTACTGTTCTGAACTATCCTACAATAATTAGTCTTTCAAATCGTAAATACTTTATTTATGGGATTACTTAAGGAATTGTAGAAATAAGTACAGTTCCCTGATATTCCTACACTTTGGAAAGCAACACCCAGAACTGACGGGTACTGCCAAATAACTTGGAGGCACTGTGCACATATTTAAGCAATCGTTCAGTGTTCAGCTAAATATGCATGAACATTGCAGCTTAACATTTAAAACCATACTGATAACTGCTATCTATTGTTAACTATGAAAAGATTATTTCTTCCACACAGATGCTATTCTGGAAGGCACAATGGATCCGATGATTTGGAATATATCCATTCCTCATAAAATGAAGATATGGATATTTCCTATGAATACGCAGAAAGTTGCTTGAAGAAAATGCACGCATACTGTTACAGGGATTTCCCATGTTATAGTCATCTCAGCTTAGAGAGAGAGTTCAACACCTACCCCAGAAGCTTGACTGAAATAAACTGCTTAAGCCTCAGATGGGTGCTTCTAATAGACTTTATAATATTCCAAGTAATTAATACCTATGTCCCTACGTATAAGTTAAGGTACACCAACATTCTTTTTAAAAGCATATCGGCTGAAAGTCTAGATTCAGCAACTATATAAGTGAAATTGCATTTAAATGGAATATGAAATTGCTAGTCTGTTAAAAGGAAATTTTATATCTATCTATCTATCTATCTATCTATCTATCTATCTATCTATCTATCTGTAGGTAATGTAGACATAGATCAGATAGACTGTATCTTTCTGTTATCTAATGACTCACATCTGAAAACACTTGCTTTTGTTGTTGTTTAGTCGTTAAGTCGTGTCCGACTCTTCGTGACCCCATGCACCATATTGCGCCAGGCCTTCCTGTCCTTCACTGCCTCCCTGAGTTTGCTCAGTTTCATGCTCATTGCTTCAGTGATGCTATCTAACCATCTCATCCTCTGCCGTCCTCTTCTCCTTTTGCCTTCAATCTTTCCCAGCATCAGGGTCTTCTCCAAAGAGATCTCTCTTCGCATTAGGTGACCAAAGTATCTGAGCTTGAGCTTCATTATCAATCCTTCCAATGAGCAGTCAGGGTTGATTTCCTTTAAGACTGACTGGTTTGACCTCCTAGCAGTCCAGGGAACTCTTAAGAGTCTTCTCCAGCACCACAGTTCAAAGGCATCAATTCTTCGGCGCTCGGCCTTTTTCTGTATCTTTCTGTTATCTAATGACTCACATCTGAAAACACTTGCTTTTGTTGTTGTTTCTGTATCTTTCTGTTATCTAATGACTCACATCTGAAAACACTTGCTTTTGTTGTTGTTTCTGTATCTTTCTGTTATCTAATGACTCACATCTGAAAACACTTGCTTTTGTTGTTGTTTCTGTATCTTTCTGTTATCTAATGACTCACATCTGAAAACACTTGCTTTTGTTGTTGTTTCTGTATCTTTCTGTTATCTAATGACTCACATCTGAAAACACTTGCTTTTGTTGTTGTTTAGTATACAGCCTTGTCGTACACCTTTCCCTATTTTGGACCAATCGGTTGTTCCATGACCGGTTCTAACTGTTGCTTCTTGGCAACACTTGCTAAGTACAATACAAGTAAAAACACTTGCTAGGTACAATGAAAAAGGCAGAAATGCATATACTTATGGAGATGTCCTCAAAAAACGTTCAAAGCAGCTGTCCAGTCCTTTGCCAGATACAGCTGCCTCAATAGTTCAAAAGCACTTTGCTCACATCAGTCTGCTTTGCTAAATACTCTTCTGAATGCTTAGCTTAGTTCTAATATGTAGTAGTGAGTTTTACGGAAATTAAGTGTGCTGTTATGTACTGCAAAATACCATATACTTCTACCACACACCATAGCATACCATTGAGATAACTGAGCAAAGTCACATTCTTGCTTGCAACATTCAAATCCATACATTTCATTTTATTTCCCCAAAACAAAACTATAATGCACTAAAAGTCACCAAGCACCAAAGAATTAAGGGATGTGAAAGGAGGACTATGGACCCTAAAAGAATGGAAAAGGAACTAACAATAATGTTAAAATATTCACTGTCTGGAGTTTTTGCTGATAAACTGTTCTGGCTTTATCTCAGAATTTGTATTCTCTTTCATAATTTAGACCTATTTATTTCTTAAGATGAACCTAGTTCCATTTTTTTTAATGGACAAAATAACATTTCCAGCAGTGCCTCTGGGCATAACATAGATTCCAGAAATATTCATATGGTTGATGGGTGGCAATTGCCTAGTGCTTTGCTTCAAACTGCCCAAATAAAAGAAAAGGTAAGGGGTGAGGTATGGTGAGGGGTGACCTTACTGGTTTGCCTTCTATAAAAGTGTTTTCACTATGCTCACCATGGCTCGCATTTTATGACTGTCCTCAACTGTTTCAAAATTCTAAATGGGCTTACCATGGCTTAAGGGATTCTGGTTGAGTACATAAGAATACATGAATGTGTGCATTTTCCCCCCATTACTAGTTCCTCTCTTTTTCTTCTTTTTGTATGTAGTAAGGAAAAAAAAAACTTATTTTCCTTGCATTTGCAGAAGGATCAAGTGGATCTTGGGGGAGGAGGGGGGAGGATCTGGAAAAAAAGGAAAGAAGTTAAATAAAGTAAAGTGAAAATAGAAAGACTGCATTGCAGAAAGAGAAAGTATGTGTCCTATATAAAAAAAAGTATTAGAAGATGATTAATCTACCAATGAATGAATAGAAAATAGACACAGAAAAGAGGGTAAAAAGTGTGTGGAACATAGTGAAAGCATTGTTTTATAGAGTGCTACAAAAGTTATAAAAATTAGAAAAACAAGAGATAACAATGACAAAATTAGTAAAATGCAATATTGGTTTTATATTGAGTAACAGATGCGCAGACTTGATTTTTGTTCTTAAGCATCTCATTAAGAAATGCATGAATGAAAAAAGTTGACTGCACATTTGTTGATAGAGAAAAACTGAATAGGCATGAATCACGGAATATTTTTATGAATATGGAGGCATTAAAGATTGATTGCTGAATGAGATAAGAGTGGTGTGTAATGGGAATAAAGATGCAACAGAATAAATAGAATGCTTAGCAAATTGTTCAACTCCTTACAGGGAGCAAGGCCAGGATGTGAAATGTTCCCTTAGTTGGTGAATGTATTTATGGATAAATGTACAGAAAATGCTAGTGGTGATGACAGAGGCATGCTAGGGCCAAAAATGTGTATACAGTTTTGCATTCAGATTATGCCATACTGTCATCTGCAAACCCACATTATCTGTAATGAATGAGGAATATGGACTGAAAACTATTCTACTGAAGTCTAAAATAATTGTGTCTGAAAGGAAAAATCAAGTAACTCTTGCAAGATTGTAATAAATGGCAAAAAAAAATAGAGCAAGTAATGAATTTGTGTACCTTGATAGAATGTTTACAAAAGAAAGGAGAATGGATGGATAAATGTTAGGGACGATCAAAAAGAAAGTATATGGTTGTGAGGGATGAAAGGTTGTTGAAAGCAACAAAAATATCAGTGTGTAACAGCATGCATCTTTCTATGTTTTTATATGCAAGTGAGAGTTGGATATGTCAGGAGAAATATAAAAGTTGAAAGCTGCAGGAATGGATTACTTAAAAATGCATGGGAGATAGGTACGGATTGAATACAAAAGGGAATGTTCAGTATGAAACAAGTACCCTGAGGTGGTTTCATCATACAGAGAGAATGAATTAGGGTCAAATTACAATTATATACACAAAGAAAGAGTAAATGCGTTCAGAAGAAAGAGAAGACTATATAGTTCATGGTTGAATGAAGTTGAGACCTTCAAAAAGAAAAAGATGAGAAGTTTAAAGAACAAAAATAATGTATGAAGGAACATTATGGACATGGGAGGAAGGATGCAAACATCCATTACCATATGCTCTTTATCTCTCACTCAGAACTTTATGATAGAACTGTGTTGATAAATATTTCACA